CAAATGTGCCATGGGTTACAAATCGGGCTGCTTAATGAAAGGCCAGCGAGTTCGAATCTACAAGTCCATCAGAGGAAGAATGATGAGGCTTTCTGCTCCCATAAAGATTTACAGTCTCAAAAACCCACAGTGCCAGTTCGTTCTACTCTGCCCAACAGGGCTGCTACGGATCACAATAGCCTAGATGGCAGTGAGTATTAAAGACGGCTTTGTTCTCCAAAAATAGCAATTACAGATCGAGTGGAACATCAAAATCGTAACCTTCCAAGTAAGGATAGTTCTCCAAATGTCAGTGACTTAAACATAATTGTATATTTGTATGCCACTCAAAATAATGCAGAGATAATCAAGCTTTGTATAGCAGGAGTGTGTGTCAAAAGATTGAAACTTATTCTTTCCAGGATTAGTCTTCTCGCAATCTCCTATTCACCACCATAACAAAGCTACCCCTTCATTCCTTTTCATCGAGTCTTTAGTGCCAGCCAGTGTTTGTCACTACACCCATCTCCTTCTGAAGTCTTTCCAGTGTATCCTTAGACCTTGCAGTAAACACTTGAGGTCCTCCCGCAGGTGCCCCGTAGCTCCCCACTCCCATGCATCCCCTCTTCTGTCACTCAGAGCCCCAGAAACCACAATCCCAGAGGCCCCATTTGCTGCTCACCTGCTCGTGCCTGCCTGTTCTTCCTGAATCTGTTTTCAACAATTGGTTGCCTTTTGCTCTTTGCTCCTATTCAGCAATTTTGAACCAAGCTCTTTACTAATCACATTCACCTTTGAACTGGTCTGCAACTAACAGTGGCACGTTGCCCACTCACTGCTGGCTTTAACCTTCACTCCTCCCTTATCCACCTTTCTCTGGTGTAGATGATTATCTGGTTCATCAGCTTTTATGATCGTTAAGTGCCAACTATTACAATTATTGCTTAAAGGGCACAAGTAGCTCGGGAGCTTAATTCTATATTGTCTTTACATCTTAGCTCACTAATAGAAAAGGCAATAGCATCTCTCCATGGCTTTCATCCTTGAAATGAATGTGGAAGCTAGATACTGAATTGTCCAATTAAAAAATATTTACTGAGTGTCTAATATATAACAAATGTCACCTAAGGCTCTGGAGGTACAAAGAAGAATCAGAAACAGGCCCAGTTCTTGAGGAGATAGGACTTATTAGAAGACACAGGCAAGGGAACCAAAAGCTACATTGTATTCTAAGTTCTCCAGCAGAAATTCTCACAGAACGTGAAGAGATCAGACAAGGGAGGCAAGTAACTGAGTTTGGAGGGGAAAGACGAAGGTGGGGAAGGAATGGGAGGCTTCTTGATGAACAAGAGGCTTCAGCTGGACCCTGATCAGAGCTAGGAAATACCTTGGTGAAGTAGTGCAAGGAGAATTCTAAGAGCGTGCAGTATGAAGAATTCAGTATGGCTGAAATAAGGTTGAATGGCAGAGTTCTCAACTTCCAAATGGGAGACCCAGGTTCAATTCCTGGCCAATGTACCTCATGTCCAACCATCACCCATCTGTCAGGGCAGACTGGGTGTTGCTGTGATGGTGGACAGGTTTCAGTGGTGCTTCCAGGCTAAGAGAGATTAGGAAGCAAGCCCTGGTGATCTAGTTCTGAAAACGAGCCAGTGACAACCCTATGAATCCCCACAGTCCGATCTGTCCCAATCATGAGGGTAGTGTAGGATTGGGCATCATTTATTCCTCTGTGCATGGGGGTTGCCATGAATCAGGACTAACCTGACAGCAGCAGGGCTGCAATACAGAGGTGCAGCAGAATGAGAGAGTGCTGTATGGGAAGGGAAGTTCTGCAGGCTGAGTCAGATTTCAAAAGGCTGGGCTTGTTTGCCTTGTAGGTTCTGTGGTGACACTTGATTGTTAATTCATGCCTTTCTATTCCCTCCTTAAGCAAATGTCAATATTGAGTGACTCAGATAAAATGGCGTAGTATTGACCAACATTGCAAACTGCGAGGACAGAAAACTCTACTAGAAAGTCTGAATACAGTTGAGTTAGTTAATTGTGCCAGCCTGGCCGATAATCACATGTGGTGCTGGTTGAAAGGCGGAGGGATAAATGGGTGGTGAAGCCTCGCCTTTCTAGTTCTCGGGTCTCTTGTTTTGTGATAGTTGCACTGGGTGCAGCTGCCTTAGCAGTTCCCTGCTTCAGCTTGCAAGAATGACTTCCTACAAGACATCTCCAAGAAGAAGCTACATGGACCTACCCCGATGCAGCCCTGGATGCTGGAGCAGCCGTGTGGAGACCCCTGCTAGTGCTGAGATGCTTGTTCGTTCACTGACTCAGCTTTCCTCCTCCAGTCGGCATCATTGCCTCTGTTTTGTGAGGTGGAGGACTTTGTGGACTGGTGTTGGGTTAATGGGTTAATGTTGGACTTGTGGGCTTGGGCAGCATTAGGTTGGGATGTTTTCGTGATGCACATTTTCTTTACATAAAACTCTCTTATCCATGAGTTGCTGTGGATTTGTTTCTCCAAAGTACCCAGACTAATACAACAGTGATGCATGAAAGCTCCCACTACTGAACCATCTGAGCTCTAAAGCAAAGTTGGCTGTAACAAAGTTAAAAATTAAATTACCAAAGTTAAAAGAAAAAGCAGATTGAAACATTGCCTAGACCTGAGCTACTGTTACGTTTGCTCCCATTTGTGGCATATTATCCAAAAGTGAGGTCAGATTAAAAGGCCGGCTGAGTGAGATGGTTTTTTTTTTTTTTTAATTTCCTCCCAAGTGCACACCCTCGTGTTTAATCAGGTCTGAGTACTGAGCAAATCCCTCCCCACAGTCTGAGCATATATAGTCAATCTCCTCCTGGGGCTTCGCCTGCTGACTTTCCCAGTCAGAGTCCTCATGAGTCTCCGCTGGTTCAGATCTGTCCACAGATGACTGCGCTCTTCTGCAAGAGTCTGTCTCAGTGACCAGCTTCTCATTCTCAGTCTCCTCATCCTTCTTTGTCAGGCTTCAAAACTTCACACCTGGGCTGGACCCGCTGCTCCTGCCCTGTTTTAAAGGGTTCCATCTCCTCCATGACCCCTTTCTGTTTCTCTGCCTGGTCTGAGTCCTCTTGTTCCATTTCTTCAAGCTCTGGCTCTAGATCCTCCAGCACAGCCACCACGTCCTCCCTGCTCTCTGGGTAGTGCTGCCACACATGGGCCTGTAACTCCTCGGGCAGGATGGTCAGGAACTGCTCCAGCACCAGCAGCTCCAGGATCTCCTCCTTGGTGTGGATGTCCGGCTGCAGCCACTGATGGCAGAGCTCCGGGAGCTGGTTCAGCGCTTCTAGGGGTCCTGTGGTCTCTTCGGAGCGCAACTGTCTGAATCGTTTGCGCAACTGCTCCTGTCCAAGGCCTGTGCTGTTTCTTTGCAATTTGAATCTCTGCTCCCAAGTGGAGGAGTGGTCTTCCTTGACTGCCAGGAGCCCTTCTTTCTTCAGATTCAGGGGAGCTGGGGAATGAGCACTTACTAATACTGTTGCCATCCTAACTTTCAGGTGATCTGTGTTGCAAAGTGTTGTTTGGAATGTCTCCTCAGGGATACTCCCCGCAAGGACCCGCACCGCACTGGGAACAATTGCTCTCCAAGGCCGGCTTAGCTCAGCGCTCAATGCCAGCAACGTCTCGCCAGCCCGCTTTGGTCTCCGCTCTAGGAAGCAGGAGGACCACAGCTCGATGGTCTCCCGTGGGTCGAGATGTTCTTTAAGACACCTAACCCTAATAGATTCTTTAAGTCTTACTGTGAATTCGGACATTCATGTACTGCTAGTTATCAAGAAATACGCATTTTTTTCCCTTATAAACTGATCACTTCTTTCAGCATTTTGTTCCATTTTAATGAAAACATCATTAGACAAGCCCATTGTACCAAAATGAGATTAGGCCTTGTATGATCCCCTCCCTATTGGTTCTGGCTTCACTGCACTGTAATCAGCACTGCCTGGGAACACTGCTGCTACGGCTGTCTCGTCACAAGTCACAGGCCTTTTCTCCCCAATTCCTCAAGAGGGAGAAAGCCTTAGGGACAAAACAAAACAAATTCGCAATCAGAAGAGGGTTTCTGTTGCTCCATGGATCAAACTAAAGTGGTCTTGCTTTAGCTTAAGACAGCCTCCTATCTAAGTCCATATCTATTGGGGAAGGCACTTATTTATAGAACAAGATTGGAAAGGCCATTGCTTGTGCTGGAGTTTGTGAAAAGAGAAGTAAAAACTATTTTTTCCCTTATGTGTTATCAACTGAAGAATTACGGCTTCAAGTATGGTAAGCCAAAATGAAAACATGAAACAGAATGAAGTATTATGATACTTCATGTATAAAGCAAGAATGAGAGGCTCCATCGAAGTACATTTTCCCCACATATGGAATAGGGGCTTGATGTAAGTACATCTTCACAAACATTTCTTTACTTCCCCTTTGAAAACCACAAAAATGTATCTCAACAATTTTTAATCAAACATGTTTCTCTTTTTTTCTCAAACATGTTTCTAAAGTGAACTATATCATTTCCTATAAGAAACAAAACCCTGTCTTTATGGTTCAGAATCACGACTGTGACATCAGTGATATTTTCTGTAAATCTGGGATGTCCCCAGGGATTATGGGACTAGAGAACCACTTATTTTCTGCCACTAAATGGTCCCAGATTTCTAGCCTTTTAAAGCTGTCATTTTCTTTGACATCATGCTATCTATTGATATTGACCCTGACTCCTCCAATAAGCAGCAACCACCTAATCTTATTTTTAAATCCAAGGTGTGATGTGACTCAGAACCACAATTCAAGCGTTGTCAGTTTATGAAAATGAGGAACTCTATAAGGAAACAAGTGGCATGAGCCCCTAATGTTAAAAAAAAAAGGAAACAAGGGGCATTGACACTCTCTGAAGGATACATAAACCCCTTCCCACTTACTGTAAACCCTCAGGTATAAACAAGAAAACATGACTTATGGAAAAGTGGGATATTATGTTATATAGGTTACCTACCGGTTTCTTCTTTTCCTCCTCGGCTTTCTTCTTTGTCTGCTTCAACTGCAGGGTCAGTTTTTCAATCTGTAGAAGATGGACATGGGTAATTTAGGAGCAGCACTCTTCCCTGTGTCCTGGATGCCTACCTGTGGTCCAACTATCTCTGTTTTCTGTTTCGAATCTGTTGAGGCTTTGAAAGCCAGATCCCCAAGCTCATCTCCTGACTCATCCAGTTCTGTTGGGTTCTTACTGCCACTTTCCAACCACAACCTCAGCCACTCTCACCACTCAGCTTGTTTATACATAAGACCAGCATCAGCAAAAGGCGGCAAGTTATACTCTCTAAAAGTTAATGCTTGTGTAATTGTACTGGGGGGTGGGTAGGTTGTGACTAAAGAGCTAATCCCTAAGTAAAGCACAAACATTCTACTTTATGCACTTTAAGAACTTAAATACCAGGTATTTGCTCCACAATGTGCTAATGAGTGGCCACTTACTATTACATGTTTATATAGCTAAAAGGGACCAAGCACTTCAAATCTGGCTACAATTTCAGCAAAGCAACACTGTTCTGATGAAACTACAACCTAGGGACTTCTCAAGGAAACAGCTGATTTTGATTTCATGCAGCCAGTATTATAAACTCTTAACTGTAGATTCCAAGGAAAACATTTCTGCCCCACCTCCGACTCCCCACAGAGACTTTCTTACACTTTGTTGACTACAAATTAAAATCTTTTTCAGGTATTCCCTTGAAATCCTACGATAGAATGGGTGTTATCAACTCCTAAACATGCAGTTCTGACATTTCTATGTCCTTAAAAAAAAACAAAAAAACATGTGGGTGAAGTCCCTAAACTCAAACCAGAATCCCTGCCATTTAGTGGATTCTGAGTCATAGTGAAGCCCCTGCAAGACACTAATACAGTGAACCCTCGCCACTTCGCGCTTCGACTTCTGCGGCTTCACTCTATCGAGGTTTTTGCGTAACAGCGCATGCTCTGTCATTACTGCCACCGATTGGCTCATACTGTACACGCTTCTGTCTGCATCGCTATGTATCGGAGCTACGTATCAGATGCATTTTTGCTTTTGTACAGTGTACTGTAATTGTTTGCGATTTTTAAGGAATTTTATCTAAGCCCTATGATGGCTCCTAAACGAGCTGCTTCTTCTAAGCCTTCTGACAATAAAAATAAGCGCCAGAGGAAGACACTCACCATCCAGGAAAAGGTAAAACTTTTGGATATAAGGAATCCTACTTCGCGGAATTTCATTTATCACGATAGGGTCTAGAACCGATTAACCGCGATAAACGACGGTTCACTGTAGTTTGTGATCAGCTATTAACTGAAAGGTTGGTGGCTAAATCTACCTAGCAGTACCTCAAAAGATCTGGTGATACACTTTTGCAAGATTAAGATCAGCCAAAAACTACTGCCTCAAATTGATTTAAGATTATGATTACAACCCCTGAAAGCCCTCTGAGTGCAGTTCTATTCTTAAACACATGGGGTCGCCATGAGCTGGACTTAACTGGATGGCAACAGGTTTGTTTTGTTTTGAGTGTGTGCACTGAACTCAAAAGAAGACAGGTCAACTGGCATCTCTAAACAGCCCTTACACACATCCACACTGAAGCAAGAAACACAAACAAAATCAGTTGCCCTCAAATTGATTCTCACTCCTGGTCTCCCCAGAGTGGCGGAGTAGAACTGTACTTGACAGAGGTCACCATGAGTCGTCACAAGTCACTTGATGGCTAACTGTAACAACAGAAGAGTTTCCAATGGCTGATTTTAGGAAGTAGATCACCTGGTCTTTCTTCTGAGGTGCCTTTGGGTAGATTGAAATCTGCAACATTTTGGTTAATAGTGTTAAATCATTTGTACTACCCAGAAGCTCTAGTACACACATGCGTGAGTGTGTGTGTATACACACATACATATACATATGTGCTATATAGATACAAATATTTATATACAGGTACACAGACATCATTGCCCTCCAGTCAATTCTGACTCACAGATACCCTGTAGTACTTACTGCCCTATAGTTTCCAAGGCATGCTTTATATTCTAATCTGTTGTCATGTCCTGAGGATTCTTCCTGTAATTTGTTTACCATCTCTTCCTTTTTTCTTCCTATCACATTGCTACTACATACATTTATGACTTCAGCATACCAGTCACCAGGCTCCATTCTCAAATCCACATACCATTGTCTTTTTTTTAAAGATACTGTTGTCATGAGTCTATTAGATTGTAAACTGCATTGTGGCAGGGACTCTATCTTGTTCACCTTTGAGCACTAATTACTAGCATAAACTGGCATATAGTATATATTTAATTCATCAATGTTCATTGAGTGAATTAATGTGTACTTAAGTTTTAATCATAAACACATTCCCCTCCCCCCACCCTTAGAACTTTAATTCTCCCTGCCCACAACAGAGGTTACAAACCTTCAGTGCCAGGCAGGAAATGTGTAAAGATGTGTTTAAAACAGTAGGAAGTGGCGGGGGTGGGGTGGATGTCTGTGGTAAACTGCAGAGCACCTGTTTCATCTAAGGGGACAGTTCTGTGTTGCTCTAACCAACGGCTGCTACATGATGGAACACAGGCCTAATATTGCCAGGTCCTCTAATTTTTCAGGGTCAGGAGAACGATTTCTACATAAAATCTGTTCTTTAAGTTATGACAACTAATTCTACTTAAAAAACAAAAACAAAGCCCAAGCACGCCACTGTGCAGGCCAAGCAAAACCCATCTATGGGCCAAATCCAGCCCTCAAGTCCCAAGGGGTTTTGTCTGTAGACAAAAAACAAACTGCTTGCTTGAGAGTCTCATGCTCTACTGTAAGTTTCCAGTGTTTCTTTTTCTTTTAATAAAATTGGCTATTTTATTTTCCAACGTTTGTTGCCAAAACTGTTTACCCATTATTCCTCCTCAAGAACCATCCTCTCTAGTCTAGTGGTCCTTACACTTGAGCATGCACCACCACTACCCGGAGGGCTTGTTAAAACATAGAATCCTGGGCCTCACCACAAGGCTTTTAAAAAATTCAATAGGTCTGGTAGAGTCTACAAATTTGCATTTCTAGTAATTTCCAAAATGAAGCTGATGCTACTGGTCTACAGACCACACCTTGCTCTAGTTAAAATATTAAGCACATTCTGAGTTTGGCTCACATTGTTCTATCTTCCCCCAAACATTCCCTCTTCCTTGCAGGCCATCTCTTTCCATCAATGCTGCCTTCCTGTAGCACTTAAGGTCTATGTCATCTCCTCTTTATCAATCACTGCTTGACACTACTTATTGTTAGGTGTGTATTTGTGTAGAGATGCCAGTGGAGTATATTCCTGAAGATCAAGATTTAGGTCAGAGCTTTACACACCTGGTTGCAAGCAAACTGATGGTAGGATTCCTATCTTGTCCTGAACTGTAACCTTCAAGTAATCAGACCACTGGTGTACAGCTGGTGTCCACCAAAGATTAATCAACAAACATCTGATAGATCCATGATATGAAAAGACGGACCAGAGGACCTAAACAAGGGGCAGAGAGCTTTTCTTAGAGAACTGACTTCCTGTCCAGTGCTCAGGGCTTTCCCAGGATGGGCAACTAATGAAAATGGGGCATGTGACCCCAAAAATTAGCAGGACAACTCCATCCTGGATGTCTCTAAAATCAGTGGGCCAAGAGAAAGCTCTGGCAAATACAAAACAATGCAGCAACCGATCATTGAGTTCAGAAAAATAAACCCAGAAGCACATGAAATACATTCACAGCTTTCATCTGGCAGAGAAGTTACCCAATATACACATCTTTGACCTACCTACCAGGACCATAATGATCTTGTTTGCGCGAGGATTCAGCCAAGACACTCTTTCGTCCTCATTTCTATGTTGGCTGGGAACTACACACTGGACAGAAAAAAGAATTACAGAGCCAAGTCAACAGAACACTAAGTGGCTTATTTTAGAAAATTTTTAAAATCATTAGTATTCAGGGAGAATGCAGATTGGGGACCCTAAGCCCATCTGTAGGCAACTGGACATCCCCTTAACAGAAGGGTTGCAGGGAGGAAACGAGTCAGTCAGGGTGCAGTGTAGCAACGATGAAACAACTTTCCTCCAGTTCTTAAATGCTTCCTCCCTACCTATCATGATCCCAATTCAACCTTACAAATCTAGCTAGACCAGAGGAGGTACACTGGTACAGATAGGAACCGGAAACAAAGGGAATCCAGGACAGATGATCCCTTCAGGACCAGTGGTGAGAGTGGTCATACTGGGAGGGTGGGGTGGAAAGAGGGAACCGATTACAAGGAACTACATATAATCTCCTCCCTGGGGGACGGACAACAGAAAAGTGGGTGAAGGGAGACGTCGGACAATCTAAGACGTGGCAAAATAATAATAATATTTCTAAATTATCAAGAGTTCATGAAGGAGGGGGTGGGGGAGGGAGGGGAAAAATGAGTTGATACCAAGGGCTCAAGCAGAAAGCAAATGTTTTGAGAATAATGATGGCAACAAATGTACAAATGTGCTTGACACAATGGATGGATGTATGGATTGTGATAACAGTTTTACGAGCCCCCAATAAAATGATTTAAGAAAATCATTAGTATTCTAAGCAATGAAACAAATTCATTCAGCTGAAGTACTCCTGGAACTTCAGTAAATCTACCTATCAGAAATGACCACATGCATTGCTAAATAGCAACTTCCTACTCTGCCCCATCAATTGTTTCTCATCAACAGATGACTGAATAGCAACACCCAGTTATTCCGTAGAGAATGTGGATTCTAGAACCATAGATTCTAGAACCATCTGCCAGTACAGTAGGATGCTGTGAATTTCCCTTAGGCCATATTGATGCCTCAGCAATTTTACCTACAAAATCAAACTTAGTCAATAAAGACACATCAACAAAACAACTATTAAAGTGCATGCAACCAAAGGGTTACCCATACACTAAAAAAACATTATTATTGGGGGCAGGAGGGGGGGAATATTGTTGCAGTCAAATGTTTATGCTTATAGATGAGCTGTTGGCCTATATTCAAATTTTGAGGCTTGGACTGACTTTTCGTATTATAAAGCACATTGACCAAATTTTAGGATAAATTCTAAATTCTATGGCAGGAGATGTGCTTCACACTTGGGTCCAACTTAAATGGGGAGCGTTTTCAGAACCTTAGTAAAACAAAGGTAAGCTCAACTTTACAGAAGTAGCCCCTTCCATGCACAGTGCTTCCCGTCAGAAGCGCCTAGAAGAGTGACATGGGCAGAAACACGCAACGGTCATGGTAGTAGACAGTGTCTAAACAGTGGTTCTTAATCTTCCTAATGCCGTGACCCTTTCAGACAGTTCCTCATGTTGTGGTGACTCCCAACCATAAAATTATTGTCGTGGCTACTTCATCACTGTCATTTTGCTACTGGTATGAATCGGGCGACCCCTGTGAAAGGGTGGTTTGACACCATCCTCCAAGGGGTCGCGACCCACCGGTTGAGAACAGCTGGTCTAAAAGCTAATGTGCAGTGTTCACGAATAAGCCAGCAAGTTCACGCTAACGGAGAATTCTGAATCGGGAGCCACATAAGAAGTGGAGGTGAGGAACCAAGGTCAAAGCGCTCAGGCAGGGGTGTGAAGGATTAAGGTCACCCTTAGGGAAATGGCGAGGGAGGATCTGTCTGAAATTGGAAGGGCATTTCCAACTTGGAGGTGGCGGGTAAGGCAGCAGCGAGGGCGCTTCAGCCACGGGGCTCCCTCCTAGCGCCTCCGTGAACTTGGCAGCGAGGATGCTTTCGTGACTGGAGTTTCACTGAATGAAAGCCTCGTCAGAGCTCCTCCATTGAAAAGACGAGGGGTGCTGTGGAGTGCACTCCTTGTCCGGGGGGTGCGTGGGGAAGGGTTCCCAACTTCACGCAACCGCCGAGACACCCAAGTCATTAACACACCCGGAGCCAGCGCCCGTCCGGGGTGGGCACGCCGGTCGGGCAGGCCACCCTGGGGGGCGGAGACCCGCCCGACGCCCGCGAGGCCTCCGGCGCCCTGCAGCCCGGC